AAAAAAAAAAAACGATCTCATATACTGTAGCTAGATCTCATGTGACATGTAAACCAGTCTGGATCTGTTCTTGTGGATTTACAGGCGGAATTGACCATTTATCATTTGCATTTGTGCCGAAAGACATTTCCTCTTGCTGTGAAACCGAAGCCACAATACATACGAGTGTTTCCTTTCTCATTTATTCATCTATTCGTTTCTCATAGTCATTCATATGAAAGTGCAATCTAGTAAACCGCCTTTAGTTCTATGTGATATAAACTTTACAACCTGTTAAATGTTTTCTTTTCATTTTAGAGTAGAGTAGATTCAGGGTGGATGAACAACTAGACCTTAATCATCATTTATATGATCAGTTATGTATGTTTAATGTTATTTTGTAAGCTGAAAGTCAAAATGTTGATGTATATTAAGATATGAGGAGTGTGAAAATAATCAACCACAGAACGGATGTGATGTGAAATAGTGCTGCGGATGGAAACAGATCGCATTTGCTCTTGTTTTAGTCTTATGGAAACTATCAGGTGACATTTTGAAGGAGGGTCAAACATTAATGTGAATAAGAATTGGTCTTAAGCATCGGGTCAGCGCGAGGTAGACTCTGTTACATTTGGCTTTTCACTTCCTGCTTTGGTCTTGCTTCACAATTCTGCTGTAAAAACCACAAATCCCTGACAACATGACTTTGATCTCTTGAATGCCAAATATTGTGAAGAAGAAAAAAACGAATTATGGGCTTGTTTAGGCTGGTTTCCACTAGTCAGGCTGGACTAGTTTAGTGATTTTAAAGGTGATTTGGGGGACTGAAGACCAGCTAAACCAGTTTTTTCAGCAGGGTCTTTGTTATTACTTGTTGTAATGTATGTTTGCTGCTTTTGATTCAGCCATCATTGTTTTTCTCTGTTAACAGGAGTACATCATTCGTGTACAGAGGGGAGTTTCCACAGACAACAGCTGGACGGTGAGTTAGATCTATCTATCTATCTATCTATCTATCTATCGTCTATCTATCTGTCCATCTGTCTGTCTATCTATCCGTCTGTCTGTCTGTCATCTATCGATCGTCTGTCTATCTGTCATCTATCTATCTTCTGTCTAACCCTCTGTCTATCCGTCTATTTATCTGTCTGTCTGTCTGCCTGTCTGTCTGTCTATAAATCTATTGTCGATCTGTCGATCTATCCTTCTATCTATCTATCTATCTATCTATCTATCCCTCTGCCTGTCGTCTATCTCTATTTATCTGTCTGTCTGTCTGTCTGTCTATAAATCTATTGTCGATCTGTCGATCTGTCTATCTATCCTTCTATCTATCTATCTATCTATCTATCCCTCTGCCTGTCGTCTATCTATCTGTCCATCTGTCTGTCTATCCGTTTATCTATCCGTCTGTCTGTCTGTCTGTCATCTATCGATCGTCTGTCTATCTGTCATCTATCTATCGACTATCTATCTATCCATCTGTCTGTCTGTCTATAAATCTATTGTCGATCTCCTTCTGTCTGTCATCTATCTATCTATCTATCTATCTGTCTGTCTGCCTATTTATGTCTGTCTATATATCTATTGTCAGTCTCTCTGTCTATCCCTCTTTCTGCCATCTATCTATCTGTCTGTTTATATGTCTGTCTGTCTATCTATCTGTCTGTCTGTCTATCTATACGTCTACTGTCGTCTGTCTATCCATCTATATATCCCTCCGCCTGTCATCTGCCTGTTTTCTGTCTGTCTATCCATCTGTCTTTCTATCTATCCGTCCTTCTATCTGTCGTCAATCTTTTGTCTGTCTGTCTATCCATTTATCTGTCTATCTGTCCATCTATCTGTCTGTCTGTCTGTCTCATTCTCTCTCATGTTTGTTATTGTCAGAATGATTGATTTTAGCTCTGATTTTCGCAGATCATCCGGCGATACAGCGACTTTGACATGCTGAATAATAGTTTACTGGTAAGTGGACCGTTCGAACAAACCTGTGTTGGAAAAACATCCGTTCCTGTATAAGCGTTTGACAGCTGCTGTTTCAAAATAAATTGAATAGCATTGCTCTGACGTCTCAATGGCAATGATTCACTCTTACTGAGTCCTCAAAAACTCACATGCCTCAGAAAGCTTTTCACTTTAGCCTTCCCATCATTGAAAGAGTAACTGAGTCAGTCTGTCTGCGTTCACAGATCTCCGGCCTCAACCTGCCGCTTCCTCCTAAGAAGCTGTTAGGAAACATGGACCGAGAGTTTATAGCCGAGCGTCAGAAGGGTCTTCAGGCTTATCTGAACTACATCACACGTCATCACATCCTCTCCAGCTGTGAGCTGGTCAAAAAGTTTCTCGACACTAACAATTACTCCGCAAACTACACAGGTAATGCAACCGGGGCTTATTTTAACACCAGAAAATTTATGTTTTGCATCAAAATTATTATTAAAATCCTTCATTATTTTTTCAGAAATAGCCTTACAGCAGGTGTCCATGTTCTTCAGATCCGATCCAAAATGGGAGGTTATTGAGCCGTTAAAAGACATTG